GCTGAACTCGCAGAGCTCTTGTGACTCTGGAAAGTGGAATCCAAAGGCAGGTGGCAGTTTATGCAGCAAATTCACAGTCATGGTTTTGGCTCTCCCTGTCTCTACATACTATGTCTGCCAGCACTAGAATTAATGCTTTACTGAGCTCACCACCTCCTGCCACAGCCTGGTAAGAGGAGAGCCAGGAGGGTCCAGTTAGAATATGAACTTGTGTTGCCTGAAGCAATTTTTTTTCAGCTTTCACTCCCTCTTGCTGCAGCTTCATTTTCTTAACGCTCCTTTTCCCTGCGGAGTGTCCCTTTTTTCCTTGCACAGCCCTGGTCCCTGTTCTCCCTGCAGTCATGCCATGTTACCTGTGGGATGTCTTCTCCTTCTTCTCCTTGGACAGCTTCTTGTCAGGTGTGGGGCCCTGTGCTCCCGGAGCTCTCCGCGCTCTCCGTGCTCCCTGGGCGCTGGCGGCAGCGAGAGCGCGCCGGGCGTCCTCCTGCTTCTTGCTCAGCTCCAGGATGAACTCGTAGAGCTCTCGATTGCGCTCGCAGCAGAACTTCTGAAAGGCAGAAGAGCGTCCAGGAGAGAGACCCTTCCCAAAGCAAACCTCTGCTCCCCTTTCCCACAGCTCACTGATCCGTAATCCTCTTGGGAAGTGTCTTCGGAGAGCGGGAAGGGCGGCAGGAGGCTGCCACAGTACTCACACCTCGGGGCGCACTCCTCCGGCTGCAGGGCAGGTGCGGAGAGGGGACACTGGGAGGACAGGAGTACAATGTTATAAAGTGTGTAAGAGCAGCTAAACCAGATCTGTGCCTGTGGTATCTTGGAACAATTTAACCCAAAACATGCAGTTCAGGAAGCCACCAAAAAAACTCCTAATCTGCCGTAAATAGATTAAAACCCTCAGAGAAGTGGAGTGACTGTAGTGTTTATGAGAGCCATTCCTTCCAAGGGAAACCTTCAGTGCATGCAGAAGGCTGCAGCTGAGCACTCTGATGCATTAAGCTTTTCAGATACATTGCCTGGGGCTTTGGGGAAAGAAGTGTTGTGTTGTTGATCAGAGGAAAACCTGTGGGGAATTTCCTGAGGAACCACCAGCAGACTGGTTGACAAAAGATCTGAGCATTTTTCACCAGATGCAAATCCCAGCTGCTGCAGGATATATTTTGAGGATGGGTACTAGACTTATTTATATACATTGTGTATCTCTGCTTTAGCCGAAGGGCAAAATCTGCTGGGAAATTCTCAGCACAGGATGCAGTGGCGGGGAGCGGAGCTGCACAGCCTCTCCCGTTCCAGAGCGCACAACCAACGTGGTCTGACAGCCTGACGAAGGAAACCCCTTTCAGAAAGGGGCTCCTGCACTGGCTTTTTATTTCTCCTAGGTGAGAATCACAGGGACTGGGCTGAACAAGAGCCACAGGGCAGGGTCACCAGCACTGACCGGGGTGTCCGGGTGTCCCCACGCGGACTCGGCTCGGAAGGCCAGCACGGCGGGCGGTCCCAGCGGCAGCGAGCGCAGCAGCGGCCCCAGCAGCTCCACAAACGCTGCTTCCAGCTCGGCCTGGGAAACGCCAAAAGCAAGGTGGAGTCAGGTCTTTGTTCAGGGGTAAGGCCAGGAGACACAAGACGTAGATACGCAGCCTGGGTGAGCCCTTACCTCCATGTCACACAGAACATCCAAGCTGCTGAGCTCTTCCGGCAGGGCTGCGAGTGACAGCGATAAGGAGAGTGGCAGAGCAGCAGGGCTGTGCTCTCAGCTTATCTTCCAAGACATGTGGTTTGTTCCTTTTGCAGTGTGCCAGCCTTTTCTCCCCAGCCACATCAGCTGCCCAGGACCTTCTAGCCAGACTTGGTTCTACCCCTGTAGAAGTGTATAACCCAGCATCTGCGTGTAACCCCTCCCAGACACTTGGGGGACTGGAACCAGGCACCGACACTGGATCAGATCAGGGCTCCACAAAGCTGTCCCACTGAAGCCACGGAGATGGCTCATTGCCTAGGGTCAGTGGTTTGTAGCACTAACCTAATACTGCACCATCCTCTAGAGCATTTCCAGCCTTTCTTGTCCTAAAAGGAAAAAGCTGCAGAGACTGAAGTTTTTTTTCCCATTTCCAAGTGAACGCAAGGAAGGGATTTTTGGCCTGTGGGGCCTGAGGGGAAACCTCTCAGATGAGCAGGTGTCTATCCCTGCCCTCAGCAGCCCCAGATTCCCTCTTGGTGGGCAATGCTGCAAATCCAGCTGCCTCATGTCACAGCGGTGAGCTGTCCCTGCATGTCATGCTCTGTGTGAACAGGGACATGCCAACTGCCACAGCCTCCCCTCCAGGCAAACTAGACACAGACCTAGTTATTTTAATCTTGAATTACAGTCTCCTTTGTTGCCACCCAATTTGTCGTGCCCTTCTAAGTAACCTTGTTCTGCTTTCCAGAGAATGCTCAGCCAGATGAAACTCTGGGCAGGCTGAATGGATGTGGCTGCTGGTTTGCTTGAATTTTGTTTTTTAAATTGTAGTTCAAAGGTGTGTAGTGATGACCCTCTGCTGTGTCACAGAGAGTAACTGATTGTAAGGCCCACACACGAAGTGACTTAAGGGAGTGCTGCTTGGCACAAATTTGGTCATTCTATACTTTGATCATTACAGCAACAGACATCCCAAGGATTCGTGAAGCTGCACCTAAACTACAATGTTTTCCTTCTGCAAACACATCCACAGTGCATACCCAAACAAACAGCCCTCAAGGCTAGAAGAGGGTGCTGTTGGTCTGTCCTGGGCTGAGCTGTCCCCTTCCTGTGGGGGTGGATCTGCACGGTCAGTGTGCAAGCTGCGTCCTGTGGCCCAGATCACTCCTCTGGCTCTCAGAGGCACATGAGATGTGGGAGATGTTCTCCTACAGAGAGCTGCCTGGCGCTGAAAACTAAGCACAAAGGCTGTTCCATGCGCTTGCAAGGGCCGGGCTCAGGCAGCAGCTCCCACCAGTAGGCTGTGGGCCACGGGGCCTGGCTGAACTGCCGTGGGCAAGGGAAGGAGCTGGTTACTCTCTCATGTGCTGGGATGACTCAGCTGGGAGGAAGGAGAGAAAGGGGTTGGTGTGTTTTCATCTCCCCATTTCCCAGCACCTCTCACAGGAACACAACGCTATTTCTGCAGAGCGTGCCCACGCCTGCTGCCTGGCAGAGCCCCCCGCACCCTGCAGTGCCCAGGGCTTCGTTCAGGAGCAGCTCTGCACAGGTGAGCCGGGGGAGCACAGGGGAGGGTCCTGGGGGCTGCTCTTGGGGCGGCTGGCCCTTTGCTGAAGGACCTCTGGGGAATGGGAAAGTCACACGTCTTCTGAAAGACACCGGGGTAGGAGGCAGCCCCAGTGACACATGCCAGCGAGCAGCCTCTCTTGAATAAAGCTGTTTCTTACTTGACTCCGTGCCGGCGTGCCCGGGAAGCCAGCCGGCCCCTGCCTGCCCCGGCTCCGAACCTCCCGGCGGCTCC